GGCTAAGAACACGCTTATCTCCCTGAGCCTGGCCTTCATAAGTCCATTCCATCACATCTGGCCATCTCTCACCTTCTGGTCCTCTCTTCTCTCTTGGCGAGCCCCATCTTTCCCAATCATATGGAGCTCGGTGACCAAATAGACCCATTTTTCCGGGCTCATAAGCCCCCTGAATCCTAAACTAACCAGGATGCACCCTAAGCCATAAAACAGAAAGCCACTCACCAAGATGGAAACGAGTCAAGCCAAGCGATGATATGAGGGTACCTCGTTGGATCTTCTCCTGATCTTGTGAACAGCATCCCCCAACCCCTGCCTCTCTCTCGGTCCTCCTCCCCACTTAGAAATTTGCCTATGGATGACCAGATCTCCCTTCTCAAAGGAGCCACGCTGGAGATCTGCCAGATCCAGTTCAACACTGTTTTCAACGAGGAAACTAACACGTGGAAATGTGGCCATCACTGCTACAGCATCCAAGATGGTGCCCTGGGTAAGTGGGTGGGGCTGGGAAGAGAATTCACCGTGCGCCTCTCGTGGATTCACGTGGTTGTGCATCGCACCCCTCCCTTCCCTGAAAAGGGGGGAGTTGTCGTTAGTTGCTTGTCCATTCACCCTACACGATTACTTATGGTTCACGGAAGCATTTTTAAATTTTTGATGAGAAAAGGAAGAAAATGAAACAGAGAAGAAAGTGGGGGGAAAGACAAGCAGAACAGCCAACAGCGTATTTAATTATATATGAGAAATGATTTGCTCCAGTTTTTAAACCCGCGAGGAACCCTGATCGCATGGAATCATATCCATCAGCTTTTCCATTTCTCTAGGTCATCAGCCAAAGCAAATGTGTGATCCAAGATTATAAAGACCGAATATTATAATCATTTTTGCTGCCCCCCCCGAGTTCTACACATCCATAATTTTTCATAGAATGCTACATCTCCAAGCTGGGGGGTCTATCTTGCAAAAGGACATTTGCTTCTTTAAAGGGCATTTGCAACGCTATATTAAGAAACGTACAGATTGCAAATAAAAACAGGTCAATGATTAATTTATACCCTGCAGGACAAATGCCTCACCCCACAGTGGGCTTGATTAAAGAGGCTTGGCGAGTTTGGGGTTCACCGGGCGTTGCAAACTCAGCCTGGGAACCAGAAGCTGGAAAACAAACTATGATTGGTGGCTATGTTAGGAGAGCCCCCTCTTCTCCCCCCATGATGGGAGCTAAGGCTGGATCTGGCAGTTGAGAAATTAAGATCTGCTTTCAGTTAATTCAGGATGGGCTGGAGCATATACAATTGGCAAAAAATTGAATATAGATGTGGAAGGAAACCCTTTATGAAATGCATTTCGTTCTAGCTTTCTATGGCTAGAAAAATGGATGGATAGAACAGCATCCTAGACCAGGGTTTCTCACCCTTGGGAACTCTAAGATGTGTGAACTTCAACACCCCGAATTCCCTCACCCCCCCACCCGGGGGGCGGAGGTATCGGGCAGGGGGAGCACCAAAAATCAAAAGATCAACAGGGGGGAGAACAACAAA